GAGGCAACTGAGGAGATGTGGAAACTTCAGGGATTTGCTTAGCGACTTCCCCAACACTGGTCCGTGTAGTTCTCATGGGAGCCACATCTGGGGACTCCATCCTTAGATGCGGTAACCCAAACAGAGAGGCGATGAGGCAGGAGAGAAACAGGCTTATTTTAGACTTCTAGGTACCTAATTGCTAACACTCTGATTCAAACCTTGTGATAATTTGGATTGACATTGGGTGAATGTTTTGAGGAACGGCTCTTGAAACAAATTAATTTTAAGAAATGATGTGGATTGAAATGAGGAAGGTGGATGGATTCCACCAAGTAACTAATTGTTAGCCAACACTAAATTATCACGTCTTAAAAGCAACACAACAGTAGTTTTAAGACGTAATGTTTGCAGTGTTTCCCAGCCATTATGTTGTGACATTTGCTTGACTCTGTGTGTGCTTGGCTCTGAAATTAGACGTCTCGATTCTCCAAATGTCTATATTGAATTAAGAGTAAAAATAAAATTAGAGAACACTGTTCTATGTCATTTAGAGTAGTCACTTATACCTCCTGACTTTACCTCAAGATATTATGAATGAACATGGTTTTAGCCTATGTGTTAATTGTGTTAATTTTATAATTTCCCGCTGATGGACCTAATATATTTCCAACTTTAAAAAACCTGTTGAAAGTGCAGGTACTTAATCCAAAAAAATCGTATTAAAATTCACACTGGTGGAAATATAGATTGAGAGCAATGAGAGAATTGGGACATAGAGGAGATGCAGATTATTTGATGTATTCATTACTGCTGATTGGCAGGTAGAAAAAGACAATGAGATGGTGGAGGGTGGAGGAGTGGAGGGGATAGGCGGCTGATGAACTAGAGTAGCCCATACAGACTTTTCCAGGTCCGTATGAACTCTTTAGGCTTCCCTTATTCAAATTGTGGTAAAAAGATGGATTATGAAACAACTTGGTCCATTACCCATAATCAAAAATGTAACTGAATGATATTGTTATTATTAAAGATGCTTCCCACTTGATGATAGCTACCTTTGGAGACACCTTTGAAGTCCCTCTTTGTTTATTATTTGATACCCTTCTTTCCTAGGAAAATTCTTTTTCGGCCACGTGCTAAGGATGGGTTTAAGAAACAATTGGCTCTGAAACCAATATTACCTCCTTTTTGAAATGACTATTCCAAGGCCTGACCAATGCAGCTGCCCTGCTTTTAAGAAAACGCCACACTCTTTTCTCTTTTTGGGCTTCAGCTGTAGCTTTCTATTGAGCCATCAGCTGCTACAAGAACTAAAGTCTTAGGAGAAAAGAACTCCATAAATTCAAGTCATTACAAATAAACCAAGCTTTTTCTCTCTTTTGGCTAATAATTCCAAATTTACCAAAGAAGTTAAAAAATCTAAGAAGTTAAGAATCACAAGCCATGATATATAATGAACTAAGAGAAATTTAAAGCATCATACTTCACTTTTTATTATGCTAAGTGTAGTCATTTGTGAACAGTTTCAAAAACTATGTATTACTTGATTGCATTGGAACTATTTTAGTTGGGAAAAGAAAATGAAGGCTCAAGAAAGATGTAAACTGGCCAGGTTCTATTTTGCCAGATTTGGGAATGTGTTTTATTTATTTATCTTTTAAAGATAAAATATCACTTTCAAAATGTCAAAACTTGAACATCTTCTTTCTTCCCCCACCAAACCTAATTCCCTTCTGCTATTCCTCGTCTTGGTGATTAGTGTACCATCCTCCCAGTTGCCCAAGCTGGAAACATAAGAGTCCTCCTAGATTACTCCTTCCCACCCCCCACTGCATCCAGTTTGTCACCAGGTATCTATGTGATTCTAAGTGTCTCCCTGTCTGTTGTTCAAATTTGAATCAGCATCATACCCAGCCCAGCATCTTTTCTGATCTCTACATCTTTGGCTGCTACCTCCCTCAATTCCTTTAGAAATTTGTTTCCAGTCAACTTTTCCATATGCATATCTGATCATGTTCCTTTGTTACTCAAGATTCCTTAATGGCTGGCTATCACCTACTGAGTAAAATCCAATCTACTTTGCAATGCCTGCAGAGAAAGCCTCCAGGATCTGGCCCTGACTTCTGCATGGCTTTGCCTCCTGCTATTTCCCTCCTTCCAGTCTTGTAATTTACCAAAACAAGCCTGTTCGCTCAAATTCATTTGCTTTGGCACCCACTGCTTTTTCCGATGTTCCATTTCTATTGGGCAAATCCTTACCCCTCTTTTTCAACTTTCAAGTCTCCATTGAAACACTGCCTTCTATAAAAAGCTTTCCTTCATCCCCTAGACAGATGTCAAAGCCTTTTCTCCTAGGCACCCCATTGCATTTGGTATTTACTTCTAGTATCACGATCTCTGTATTTGATGGATTGCATGTGTTCTTCCTACCAAAGTTTAACTCCTTAAGGACAAGGACCGTGTTGTCATTTTGGTAATCCCAAGCCTAGTACTATTCTTAGTATGTAATAGGTGCTCATTAAATTTTGTTTGAATTAATTAACCAGGAGGACATAGTAAATAAAAATAAAATGTATCTTCTAGGGATTGATTTATTTCAGTTATAAGCTATAGCTCAGAGGTTGGCAAACTACCCACTGGCCAAATCCAGCCTTCCACCTGTTTTTGTAAATGAAGTTTTATTGGAACGCAGCCACATTCATTCATTTACGAATTGTCTATGGCTGCTTTCACACCACAAAGGCAGATTTGAGTAGTTTTGACAGAAACCACATGGCCCGTAAAGCCTGAAATATTTACTATCTGGCCTTTTACAGAAAAAGATAGCCAACCCCTGCTATAGATAATTGAGCCCATTGGAGGTCACATTTTTAAATGCTTTTGAAGACTAGGTATGCAATTCCATTTTGACACTTCAAATAACAGTTGGCTCCCTCAGATGCCTACACATCATATTTAAAAGTCACCAAGTCATCTGAAACTTTCCATTTGGGGGGAAAAAAAGCAATTCACTGATATAGTACCTTGTGGTACCCTAAGCTTAAAGGGTGTGAGTGATGGGTACACCCAAGGCCTGAGTCCCCAACTCCTAACTGTCTAAACTTGTGCTTAGTCTGGTTATACCAAAAAAAGAAAGAAAGAAAAAAATTCAAAATATGCTAGACCTGGAAGAATTTTCTTCAGTTCACCAAATGTGACTTGCAGCCTGCCCACTTTGCTTAGATTTGCTCACTCACTCCCCTCCCCAGACCCATTCCCATATCACGCTCCCTGAGCCCCTCCTGGGCTCCTGTTAGTCTTCACCACTATCTGCAGGATGCAAATTCATGCGTGTGAAGACAGACAAAGAGAAAGCCCTCACTTCCCTTAAATCCTGCTCAAATGTGGCCTTCTCTGTGGGGTCTTTCCTGCCTCTGTATCTAAAGGTGTAAATCCTTGTCCTTTATTCACATTGCCAGACCCTCCCCTCTTTTTTTCCCTCCCTAGAAGTTATCGTTATTTAACACACTGTACCCTTTACTTACCTTGTTCATTTTCTGCCCGTACTAGACTATAATATCTTCATTTGTTAAATGAATGAATGAATGAATGAATAAGTGGAATCCCAGATAAAGAGGAAAAATATCAAAGAATTAACATAGTGCCATTCACTCTTTGGAATGAACCTTCTAGGCAGGGATTTGCTACCAGTAGGGAGCAAAGGTGTCTTAATAGTTGCTGGGGCCAATCTTTCTATCTCTATTCTTTAAAGTTAGTGATGAGAATGGTGAAGTCTTATGGAATTCCTTAAGTGTTCCATACACCCACAACAAATCTTTGGCAGTGCCTGTGGGAGCCAGCACTGTTCCTTCCTCCTGGAACATTTCTTAATTGTTGAGGAAACCATAGGTACCTTTTCAAAGCTGTTGTGCCCTGGCTGATATCTGTGATTCACAGGAAGTCCTCCTCAGTAAGGGGACATTGAGTTTCAGAGGATTGTGACGTGTTGTTTCGTAGTCCATCACTTTCTCACTGCCTGCATCGAAGGTAGAGCCATTCAGGCTCAGTGGACGTTAGAAGTGTGTATGCATGTGGACGTTAGAAGTGTGTATGCATGCACGCAAATGAACTCAGGATTGTGGGACTCTTTGCTTCGATTCTTTGATGTGGAATATTTTAGCATCAGATGTCTCTATAAATATATCTAGTTCTTATTAATCATATCTCTGTGCTTATTGTGATCAAAAAAGCCCATTAGAGTGCTGTAAATAGAAACTCAGTTACTATAATTTAGCATAGAGTGTAAGGGCATAAGTTTTTTACCTTGAGTCCTGGTTGGTTCCAAATCTTGTAAGTTTTATGATTTGAGGAAAATTACCTAACTTCCCTAAGCCTCAATTTCATCTATATTATATTATATTTACATATATTATACATTACTATAATATTAATATAATGTATCATGAGTATATACTATATAATAATATATTGTTATATATTATAAATATACTAGATTATATTATTATATAATGTTATTATATTATTAAATATTATATAAGACTGGGTCAAAAATGGTAACCACTTCATAAGGTTGTTGGAGGGAATAACTTAAAAGCCCTTGGCACAGCTGGTATACAGTAGGCTATCAATACACGTTCACCCTCCTATATCTAGTGTGCATGGTGGCAATTAGCAGCAGTTTTTCCTGCTACTGAGATACAAAACCAAAAAGTTCCCATGTGTTCCCATAAAAGAAAGGAAGTAGGACCCTTGAAGCATCTCTCCACATACTGCTCTTTGCCCTACGTGTGCATCATTATGTGGGATCAGGTGACCCAGCAGATACTCGAAATATTGATGTTTGCAACTGACTGAGAAAAATCCATGGTTAACTAAGAGTGGATTTGATTTTAAGGATTAAGAGCCAATTTGGGAACATAAAGATGAAATTTGTTTGACTTTATAAATAAGAGAGAGGAAGAAGTTTGTGAGACGTAGATGAACTGTGTGACTCTTGATGTTTTTCCCTTGGTCTGCAGGGTGATTTCACCTGGAACAGCATGTCGGGCCGCAGCGTGCGGCTGAGGTCTGTCCCCATCCAGAGTCTCTCAGAGCTGGAGCGAGCCCGGCTGCAGGAAGTGGCTTTTTATCAGTTGCAGCAGGACTGTGACCTGAGCTGTCAGATCACCATTCCCAAAGGTAAAGCCCTGTTTGCTATTCCATCAGGCAACCTCCAAGTCCAACATCTGCTCTGCCCAAAGCAACAAGCTGCAAACTCATCTCACACCTAACATTAACACAGAAAGGAAACTACAGCTTCTTGGTCGTTGGCTGGCATTAGTGTCCATTTTGAAAGACATGTTCAGGCGGGACAACTGACATGTCAACTAATATGTTTATTTAAAGGCAAGATCAACTTGGGGCATTAAAAAGGAAAGCCGTGTATATCTCAATAGTCTACATGTTCAAAACAACCAATTTAAAAAGTTTCAGAAAGATCAATTTAAAGCGTAGAAGAAAAACTGTCTATCTCAACATGATTTCAAAATAACCTGTTGAAAAGAATGTTTTAACAATGTGTTAAACTTGTCATTTGACTTTATGTAAACCCAGACTCAGGGATTATACCAATGTTAACTCATTTTTATCTTGTCTTTCACCTGGCGAGTCTATGTTGGGGTCACCACTATGACACTGGAACCAGTGCGGACCTGGTTGTCTGATGTTTTTACAAACACAGATCCTGATTCTGGTAAAGAGGAGAAGCATGTATTTGAAATCCTTTAATCTGTAAAAGTCTGTTTCTGAATGTTTACTGTCTTCTATAAGGACGCTTTATAATTTGTGTTAGTGTGTAGTAGAAAGGTAATTTGAGATGGAATGAAAAGCTATGAAGTTATACAAATAGAGTAAACCCGCCATAAAAAGCGACCTTGGCTGGTGTGCCTGAAACTTGAAGGAAAGCAGGAGAGGGAGAGCAGGCATCTCAAAGCTAGAAGATTGCCTCGGAGGATTTTAGTGTCTGCAGAACTTCCACTTTGTTGGCTTTTATTAGGGGGTTGAGAGGATGCTTCATGAATATTTATTCATAAAATAATTCATGTCATATATATACACGTATACACATAGATATGTGGTTCTCAACCAGGGATGGTTTTGCCCTCCATCCCCAGGTCAAATCTGGCAATGTCTGGCTACACTTCTGGTTGTCACAGCTTGGGGGAAGGATGCAACTGCCAACTAGTGAGTGGAAGCCAGGGTTGCTGGTAAACATCGTACAATACACAGGACAGTCCCCACCACAAGCATTGTCAGGCCCCAAGTGCAGAAGCTGAACAACCTTGATATGCACTCGAACATGTACTCACATTCGGTCGACAACAGTGCTGGCAGTGCTGTATTCATGGCTCAGCTGTGGCTAACGGAAAGGGCACTGGCTTGGGAGTCTGAAGACCAGGATTTGAGGACTTGTCCCATCACTCCCGCCACATGTGATCTTGGGCAATTCGTCTCCGCGATAGGAGGCTCAGTTTTGTTGACTAGAAAGAGTAGCACAAAAACACTGACCACGCAGAGGTTTTCATTGGATGGTGACTCTTAGGGCCACTCTTTTTTTTAAAGCTGGAATATGGTGCTCTACTGGAGGCCATGAAAGAGTTCAGGAGAAGAGAGAGGTAGATAAAGACAAAGGGCTGACGGGACAGGCACATTTCACTAACATATGCCTTGCTACTTTGGCTTCCTCGTCACACACTGCTTGCCGCCACAACCAGAGCCAGCTCCTCCCAGGAGGAAATCCTTACCCCGTTCTACGTTTTCATGTGAATCTAACACATAGAGACTCTCAGCTCAAGTAAGAAGAAAATCCCTTTGGCAACTGGTGAAAAATGAGTACTAATCAGTGTCAGGCCAGTTGCTGCTTCTCTCTAGGACAGACTTGTCCTGTCTCACCTTGTCTTGGTTTGGTTGTAGAGAGGAGATGAGGCCTGCTCTCCTCTCCCTGTTAACTCACAAGGGGGGGCCAGGTGGGGCCCGAGAGTCCTGTCTCTCTTTCACAAGCACAGATGTTCTTTCAGTTTCTAAAAAAAGGAGAAATGTTGTTGGCAAACCCAATTTGTAGTGAAGGGAATGAAGACTCTAAAAAGTTATGTGAAACCTGGATTGAATGTACATCAGATAAGATATCAAGGAACAAATATTCTTTGTAGCTTTGTTTTTAAATCCAGTTAATTTGATGTTTCTCTTTGTTCCTGCTTTTTAAAGAGTCCACTAAATAAATAACCTTTACCAAACAGACAATTTTATAAAACCTGTCTGCTAGAAGCTCTGTCTCCATTGCTTATTTCTGAGACTATGTGGCTCCTAGCACATTCAGGGAAAGATTTGCTCTATCAAAATGTTCAAAGACATTTGGGCTACAGGGAGTTATTTTGATATTTTCTATCAAAATGGGAACTAATGATTTACCAATAAGTTTTTTACTTATGGAAGAGAGAAGGAATTGTGTGGTTGGGTGGAAAAAAACAGGCATAACCCAAGAGTTCTGAAACTGTTGTTTTCAGCAGATGATTATAGACATCGAATATTTACTGAGATCCTTCAAATGCATGGCCAGTGCTGAGTGCTATGGTGGCAGCCTTGGTCTGAGGGTGGTCACTTGGTTCCATGCAGACCCCCAAGTGGAGGTTCTAAACAGGGTCAGATTCACCCTGTTTCTATGAATAATTTACTCGGGAAAAAAAATATAGTGGCCAAGGCCTAGAACCTAAAGAAATGATACCAAACCTAATGAGATAGTGGATATAAAAAAATGGAAACATACTCAAGCTCACATTTCTGTTCTTTGTCACTTTAGGATGATTGTCGGGATTTATTTATGGGTATCTGTTTGTAGAACCCTCTCCCTCTGTGAAACTGGTGCCTCCAGGACTCAGATGAAGGGTATAACATATTCATCAGCTGCTGGGATTCACCATAGAGAGGGAAGAATTGAGGATTGGGGGGTTGGGAAATTATTGGGGCAATTTTCTAGAGCAGACTGCAGGAGTGGGCCCCAGAGCACAAGTCAAGAGCATGAACTCTTGAACTGTAGTCATAGGTGGACATGGCTTATATGGGTACAGATGCAGGCAATTTAGAAGATGGTGGGAGAGCATGTGGAATTGCACTCCGGATTGCCTCTCCACTCTCAGCAAAATAGGAAACAATTGCATCTGCTAGGAGCAAAGATGGGAAGGAGGTCCTGGAGGTTTGAGGAGAGAGGAGAGGAGTGGAAGAAAGGGGAGCTGATGGACAAGGATTGTTGCAGGATTGCAGGGCAGCCGAAAGAGTTCATTTGAGGTTAGTAGCTGGGAATTTAAGTTGCGAAATAAACATCATGGCAGCAAAACACACCATTTTGCACTTTAAATTCCCCAGCCTTGGTTAATCCAAATCTCCTCTCACTGGAGTTAAGATTTTCTAGTTGAGTTCAATGAAGGTAGAGAGAGACATGGCAGTTGAGAATACATCTGTGGTAGGCAGAATAATACCCGCCCCCCCCCCCCGGCAAAGATGGCTGTCTCCTAGTCCCTGGAACTTGTGAGTATGTTACATGGCAAAAGGAACTTTGCAGATGTGATCAATTAAGGTCCTTGAGATAGTGAGATTATCCTGGATTATCTGGGTATGAGCAAACTAATGACATTAGTGCTGAAAAATGGAGACGCTTTCCCAGCTGTAGTCAGAGAGAGATATGACTATGGAGGCATGGTCAGAGAGATGTAGTGTTGCTGGCTTTGAAGATAGAGGAAGGGGCCACGAGCCAAGGAATGCAGGCAGCCTCTAGAAGCTGGAAAAGGCAAGGAAGCAGATTCTGCTATAGCCTCTAGAAAGGAATGCAACCCTGCTGACACCTTGATTTTAGCCCAGTGAGACCCATTTCAGACTTCTGACCTCCAGAAATGTCAGATAATAAATTTGAGTTGTTTAAGCCACTAAGTTTATGGTCATTTGTTACAACAGCAATAGGAAACTATTGTATTGTATTGTATTCCTAATATACTAATACAGTATCCAAGGGAATGATTATAATCCCAGACAATGGAATCTAAATTGGATAAGAAGGGAAGTTAGGAATAAATACAAAAGACATAATGATCTGTAAACTGAATGTAATTCCAAAAAACATACCAACAGAATTTGTTTTTTGTAATATCACTAAAATGATCTAAACATCATCTGGGCAAATAATTATGTGAGAGTAGGCAGGGGAAAATCTGAAAAAGAGGTCGCATGGAAATTATCCCTATCCGTGTATTAAAATATCATAAAACTAAAGCAATTAAAAGAGGATTGTACTGCTTCACAATAGGCAGATCAGTGGGAGACAGTAGAGTTCAGATATGAACTAAAATAAATATGAGAACTTGTGACATGATAAATATTACATTTCTTGTCAGGGAGGAAATGATGGATTATGATTGTATTTGTAACAATGAGACAATCATTGAGGAGAAAAAGCTGGATTCTGACCTTCTTACATCAGAATAAATTGATATGGAAGAAAGGTTTGAAGATAAAAAAATGAAAGTATAAATGCACCAAAACAAAATAACTGTATATTTATATATTTTTACATTGGGAAGGCACTACCCAGAAAACATAAAGAAAGAAAGTGACACATTTCATTACATTAAAAAAAAAAAGAATCATCTCTGTGGCTTCTTGCATCCCCCCTCTATATCCATTCAGCCAGGAGACACACAAACTAAAAATTAATAAGATTTACATAAATGTTATAAGATGACTGATAAGCTGAATTTGTTACCCCTTTTTTTTGTTTGTTGCAGTAACATTGGTTTATAACATTGTATAAATTTCAGGTGTATATCATTATACTTCTATTTCTGCATAGATTACATCATGTTCACCACCCAAATACTAATTACAACCTACCACCACACACATGTTCCGAATTATCCCTTACTCCCTCCTCCCTCCCCCCATCCCCTCAGGTAACCACCAATCCAATCTCTGTCTCTATGTGTTTGTTTGTTGTTGTTATTATCTACTACTTAATGAGTGAGATCCTACGGTATTTGATCTTCTCCCTCTGACTTATTTCACTTTGCATAATACCCTCAATGTCCTTCTAAACTTAAGCTATTTTGAAAAGATGCTATAGAGAGCCTAGAGAAATCTTTAGTGGTAGAAATCAG